GTTTAAGAGCATCGTCACATCATCTGGCAAGATTTAAATAATTACTTACTTTAAGAGTAATGTAATAGTGAGATCATTTTAAATTATCATTGGCTTCTGCGCACCATTGCATTACTTTAAGCTTAAACACTTTTAGCATATTGTAAATAATTCAGATCCTATTTCCAGACTGCTTTCATGAGTTTCTCTCAGAAGTAGCACCAGTTTTATTTTGGTGGACTGTAAACTAAAAATATTCCAGTAATGTTCTTATCTTGGTGGAATGAGGTGTCAGGGGACGGTAAATGGCACAGTGCTTCCTCCGCTCTGTATGCCAGTGGACCACCCAAAACCACATGCAGATCACAAATGACTGACTTCTGACTTTTTTTTTTTTTTTGCAGAAGGCAGGAAAGGAAAATAACAATGATTATAAAAGCACCTTCACATCCAAACAAACTGAATTCTAGTGAAAAGGGATATGAAATGATGAAGTAACTTGTGATCTTATCAAACTCACATGATAACAAATAAAAAGCATGTAAAGTGGTCTCAGGAATCTGTTAGAACATTCTGTTCAGCTCAGTGTATTCAGCAGTGATGAAGTTCATGAGCTTTACACTGAAGTCACACTTGAGTAGGAGCAAATGTTGGATGAGCATGAATTAACATCTAGCTTCTTATTAGAGCCTGATACTTTTCATATTTTGAAAAGCTTTCTTGCCAGTGCTAGAACTGTTAACATTTTTAAGCCCACATTGGGCAATGTGGCCTAAATAAAATGATCTATGTTGTGTTGGAGGCACGCATGAACCACAGGATGTGAGTGGAATGATTCCTGTGCCTAAAAGTTTTCACAAACTTCACATGTTCTACGCGTGCATGTTTTTTACTGATGCTGACCTAAGGGACTATGAAAATCTGAAAATGTTTTCAATTCAGGTTCAGGTTTATTTCTGGTTGATCTCTTATAAGTGACATGCAGTAGCCTCAAAATAACTAAATTTTGTTTAAATTTAAAAAATGACTTTTAATCAACTAGCATTTTAGGATATATTAACACAACAATGATTGAACTAAAAACTGAAAGGTTTTTATTTGTGTTAAGTTGTCAAAACTGTCCCCGTTCACACGGATCCAGAAAACAACTAAAAACATTGTATTATTCATGCCAGGCCAGTAGTTGGCGATGTAAAGAAACACTACATGCCTGCACAAATTCCTATAGACTGAAAACGTATGCACGACAGTACCGTTTTAACAAATGTATGTTTTTGTAGTTTTACATGAGACAATAACAGTATTATTATCATCAAAAACTTGCACTTTGAAACCCGTTTTCAAAAGTTTGCATGTTCAGGGCCCCAAAACACTGTTGTCGTGTAAATGAACTGACAAAACACGTAAAATGTTTTCTGTTTTTAGTTTAAAATAATGTAATTTTTAGTGGATGTATGAAGTCAGCAGCCCTCAATTTCACACAGGTGTCATAACAGAATAAAGACAGGTGTAGAATATCATATTAACTATCAACATGATCAGTTAATATTTAATAACCACAAAGTACAATGCTTTTCAGCTTCATTTTGAACACGTTTGTTTTATAAAAGCAGCAGAAATGAAACTGTATGAACATTGTGGGTGTGTTTAGCCCAGTTTGGAAAGTAATAGTTTTTCGTGGGGACATAAGCTATTTTCAACATTTACAGGGGTTAATCAGCAATTTTATTTCCGTCTGAATCCCCGGCCGAATTACTTATTGTTTTTTGACAAACACCAAGGTTGTGTGGTAATTTAATTGCCGTCCGAATTCACATCTCTGAGTTTACAAGAAGAAATAGATTCAAAATTCAGTGTTTAAATCCTTTGCCGAACACCGTATGGTAGGCTAACTGTTGCACTTCGCTGTAATTTGCATGCATATTACTGAAATGCTGGAAAGTATACAAGAACAATTTTTCCTTAACTGCCAGCGAGTGGGAGCTGTTAAGAACAAAAAGAGGGAAGAGAGGAAAAGCACATAAACATTTGAAAAGGGTAATTATTATGGCAGCAACAGGTATGCAATACAATTTTAAAATATGTATTATATACAATTATATACATAAAAATATAAACCAAGCAGCTTTGTTTACCTTATGTAAATAAGAGGTTGCATTAAGTTATTGTTGCTAACATTTTAATGACATCCATCATTTTGAGAGATAAAATGCAAGACAGAAAACCATTTCAACTATGGTGCGTCTATTTTCCGATTTATAAACAGGAGATTTAATAATCAAATAATAAATAGGATATTATTAAATATGAATTTATTCTCATTATTCCAAGCATATGACATTTTATTTACAGCAGACAACCATGTGGCTGAGCACGTGAAACCCTTTTGCTTTAATAACAGGTTTACTGCCTTTGCTCATGTCTTTTTCACGTTATATATAGTTATTGTATATCTGTATGCATTGGGGTCCTGCATCGCTGTGAAGAGGTATTATTATATTCTGATAATGATTGGCTTGACTGGACATTATCCCACTTATTCCATGGCTACTTACCAGATAAATAAATGGGCATGAAATATTCATTTGAGAATTATTTTATAATGTGAAAAGAAAGAAAATATGAAGGAATTACAGGAGAAAAAAATATGTAGAAATATGAGCAGCACTAAAGAAATCAGAAATAAGGAAATTGTTTGTCTAGGCCAGCCAGTCATTATAACAAGATAATCCCTGACAGGCTGATATAGACCCCAACACGAAGCAGGATTAAATGCTATATAGATTTCCTTGACTGACAATTCGCATGGGCATTCTTTGATTTCTGTGGATTAAACAGTATAACCACATTAAGCCCCAATGGTTGTTTTTTCAGTGTCTGGACTTGTTCCCAGGATTAAAAGTCTTTTTAAAGGCTAATCACTTAAAGATCGTTATATTTTAAGGCTTTTCTTAAAAAAAATAAAAATAAAATCAGTGCTTGCACAAATGCATACTCTCATGTAGTTTCACATCATCAGATTTTTGTTCTAGATATATAAATAGTGCTGTATCTGCTCAGTGCGACAGTAAATGTGTCATAAACGTGAGGTGCCATTAGTACATTTTATCATCAAAAATGCTTAGAAAATTGCTGATTTATCTGTATGCAGCAGAACTCAGTGGCTGGGCACATGTGCATTGGATCAAGTTATGGAGACTCCCAGTGGCTTTAGTTTCAGAGAGGATGGAAGTGGCACACATGTGTGCACAGACTGAAGACAAGTCAGATGAATGACATTCCAACAAAAGTATTTAATCAGAATCCACACAGAACAAACACAGAAAATAGCAGCAAACACATGTAACTCAAATGTAGACTGGACATCGAACTTAAAGAACAGGAAGGACTTAAGTGCTGAAGCAAATAAGGTAATTAATAAAACACAGCTGAACCAAACAAACTAATAATGTCAGTAACCATAGGAACAAAGGACAAGCGGAAAAATCAAACGAAGGAACACAGGAACTAAAGAATAATACCTAAAAGTCCATGAAAACAGAAATTAACTGAACATACAGGTGCATCTCAATAAATTAGAATGTCATGGAAAAGTTCATTTATTTCAGTAATTCAACTCAAATTGTGAAACTCGTGTATTAAATAAATTCAATGCACACAGACTGAAGTAGTTTAAGTCTTTGGTTCTTTTAATTGTGATGATTTTGGCTCACATTTAACAAAAACCCACCAACTCACTATCTCAACATAACTGTGGCTCATTGTTCTGAATTGAGGGAAACTATCACCATCCCGTGATGGGACATCCAACTAAGGAACAGGAAGGACTTAAGTAAAGAAGCAAATAAGGTAATTAATGAAACACAACTGAACCAAACAAACTAATAATATCAGTAACCGTAAAAACGGGACAAGCTGGAAAATCAAACAAAGGAACACAGGAACTAAAGAATATTACCTAAAGTCCATGAAAACAGAAATTAACTGAACATACTTGTGACAGGAAGAACCTGCTAAGATCTGAGTCATCTACAAGATGTATTATTACCCAGGAATACTGGCTATAGTCCTTATGATAGATATAAGCTGTCATCAAACCATTAGTTCTGGTGTTCCAGAATAATGAGTGTCACTGAATCATCCACTCAACCAATTCTTATAAAAAGGCTGATTCAGCTATAGTTTCATTTAGAACTATTATATATTGTGTCTAAAATGTAGGTTAAATTATTTTGCACACTCAGACATTATAAAATTAGGTTTAAGTGTTCATACATTTTTATGGAAACTGTATGTGCTAAAACAATGCTGCCACTGCTAGGTACCTCAACAGATCAAAAATCCTTCGATTCAATCTTCACATCATCTAGGTTTAATTTTATCCTCAGTTTTCAGCCTAGGCTCATTGCAAAATAATATTACATTGTATTACGCTAGTATGTTAAATGTCCAGTAAGTGGTGCTAAATGTGTGTGTTTGGGTTTACCTTAAACAGATGAGCGTAAATCTGGCAACGTTTTATTACATTGATTTTTGTATGTATCACGGTAGTTCGGAAATAGAATGTCTGGTGAGTGGATCACATTTGCAAATAACATACCACCTACACTAAACCTTCACTAAACCTATTCGAGAGTGTTAAAACAAGCAAATATGAGATAAAAATGCATGTGCTTAAGCAACTATTCCATTTTAGATTGCTTCTTCAAGTTTTTGAGCTCTTTATTATAAAGGCCAATTCACACTGAATTGACAGACGCCAACCAATGCAAACAATCACCAGATTACAGTACGTCACTTCTCAGACACTCCACAACCCAACAAACAGAGATTCAGCATGTTCAATTGGTGAAAACGAGCTCCGACAGTGATCCGAAAAAACTGTTGCGTCAATTTGTCTTAAATCGTGTTTCACAGGACTCATACCCGAGCGCTCCACATTGCAAGTGCAGTGCTATACCAGGTACGCTACCGGGCAAGTTTACTTTGCTAGAAAAGCCATACATATAGAGTTGCTTATGTGATGTAGACATTAAAACGTATTAGTTTACAAACCATGCACTATGTTAAAAGTGTTTTGAAGTCACAACATAGTACTGTGCCAGGAACTGTGCCAAAACAAGTCTTTAAGACTCCATAATCTGCCTCTGTAATCATAATTTGTCTACGTTTCTGGAGTTTTGCAAAAATGTAGGCAGAGGCACGTTTTTCCAGTGAGCCTACGTTGTCCGTTTTGATTTAATAATGTTGCAAGACTGCACAAATCTTACATATCCTTATTGTTTTTTAATTAATATTAAGTATGTTTTAGAATAAAGTTAGCAGTTCAATGATTCACTCTTTTAGCTCAGGAGGGGATGAACCATTCAAACACATGCTGTCAGAAGGCATTTCTGCCTGGTCTACGGCTCTCTGATATGACAAGTCAGCATTTCAGGCTCCCATTTCAAAGTGGCCCAGATAACATGTACCAAAGACTCTTTTAGCCAATCAGCCACTCACAAACCACTTCAGTACTTAAGTGTGATTGTTTTTAAACCCAGTAACAGTCATTTAGCTCCAACTATCCTCAATTTGATAATGTAAACTCATTGTGAATTGTTGTGGTTGGACAAGAAATAGTGCTTGCAAAATAGCTTGGCTTACATCCACATTTCCCCATTCTGTCATTTTCCCGCTGAGACATGTTTGATGGTTAATTTCAGATGGAGCGTGAAGTTCTTTGTTGGGATCTGCTGGAGTTGTGTAATGGTTTCTGAAATGGTTGGGGTGGCCTCTTTTGGTTGGGTTGAAATGTCACGCTGGTGGGAAGTCAAGCGGGGTAAACCACTGGATATAATGATGTGGGCTAACTCGCTCTTACTCGCTTCATCAGAGTGAAGAACACCAAAAGCTTGCATCCCGTTGAAACTCAATGTGAATGGACAGATCACAGGGCTTGCAGATGAAAGCGCTTGCAAGGAGAAAATCATGAGAGCGGGATGTTGGGAAGATGGGAGAGAGATGGTTGAAGTTGAGAGGGAAGATTTCAAAGAAGGGGAAAGGAAGCTTGAACAAAAATCAGAGGATGTGTTTTGCTTTATAGAATGATAAACACAGAGACACATGCTGTGTTCTAAATCATAGGGAACTGTCTACATATGGTGCTTTTCCACTGCATGGTACGGCTCACTTTTGGGGGTTTTTCCACTGTGTACACCACCTAGTACCTGGTATATTTTTTAGGAGCACCTCGGTTGAGCGAGCCGTACTGATACTGAAACAAACAGAGATTCAGCATGTTCAATTGGTGAAAACGAGCTCCGACAGAGGTCAACAGGGGTAACACAGTGATCCGAAAAAACTGTTGCGGCAATTTGTCTTAAATCGTGTTTCACAGGACTCATACCGAGCGCTCCACATTGCAAGTGCAGTGCTATACCAGGTGCGCTACCGGGCAAGTTTACTTTGCTAGAAAAGCCATACATATAGAGTTGCTTATGTGATGCGTACTGATACTGATGTAAACACTGCAGATCACTGATTGGTCAGAGAGAATCGTCACTACCAGCGTCATTGGATTTGCGACACAAGACACCAAACCCGCTAGATTTAAATAGTCAGCAACAGCCGCCACAGTATCATTTGTTTGCACAACTTTTTTAAACGACTTGCTTTAAATGACCACTGCATGCATCTTGAAAAAATAAATGGCTGTATCGTGGTCAGTAGACAAGATCACTAAAATCAGTGTTATTTTAGTATAGATGATTATAGTAATAATTAATAATCAATATTTCGAATTACACTTCTTTTTATATTGTCATTTCAATTTTAGTTCGTTTTATTATTATAATTTAGTATTATTTAATTTTTAATCGGTTTTTTTGTGTCTTTATTAAGCTTTAGTTTTAGTTAATTTAGTTTAAGTTATTTTAGTACTAATTGGAAACTTGTTTAAAGTAAATGTTTTTATTTCAAATAATGTTTTGTTTTAGTTAATAAACCTCAGCAAAGTACCATGATATTACCATGCGATTCCATCACTGTACCACAGGCTCACCACAGCAGGTTGATTGTTTGAAAGGGGGGGAAAAAAGCTTTAACTACTGTAGTACTGTGTCATAAGAATAAGACATATGTACCTAACAATCTCCTAATAATATCTGATTAATCAGTCCCACAGGAAATGGAAGGTCAAATTGTGGGATACAGTATTTAATGATGTGTGCACTGCACTGTAAAAAATATTGTGCCCGTTTTACTCAATAAAATTGAGGCAACTATTTGCATCAGCTTTTTTGAGTATTTTGAACTCATTTTATCTTTGTTCTATTAGTGTCACGATTCGCCTACTGTGACAGAGACGAGGAGATGAAGGGCATTAACATTAAACTGTATTTATTCATCCAAACATCGACCATACAGGCAGGAACTCACACGCAGGTCGAGGGGTTGACGTACAATACCGGACGAAAAGCTAAGAACCGGGAACACTTTAAATACACAAGACATGACGAGAAACACCTGGAACTAATGAAACATAACAACATGAGGGAAAACACAGCTGGAAACAAATGGGAAACAATCAGGGAGCAGGGCATGGAAACACATGGGGAGCAAAACACACAAAACACGGAACAGAGTCTGACAATTAGACTTTACATGTTGTAAACTTGCACTCTTAAGTAATGGCAACTCAATTTTTCAGTTTACAAACTATAGTTTTAAGTTCATCAAACATAAACCTTGTTATTTTTAAAGTAATATATACCAATTTCTTCTTATAAGCCACATATATTTTTTTTAAATGTTCAAACTGTATTCAATCTGTATTTAAATAATTATACATTTTTCTTTAATATTGTAATGAAACAGTAAACAGGCATCTCAAAACAAAACATTTATTCATTTTACAATGTTACAGTGCAACAATGCAAAATACAGAGTATCATTAAACATGATCCTTCAGAAATCATTCTAATATGCTGATTTGATGCTCAAGCATACTTTGACTGATAATTTCTTAATAATTAATATTATTTTCTTATTATTTGATAAGTTCTTAACCAGTTGTGCTGCGAGTATCATTAACACCAATTCTCACTATTAACTAGCTGCTTATTAGCATGCATATTACTAGCATATCGACTGTTTATTAGTACTTATAAAGAACATATTAATGCCTTGTTCTGCATGACCATATTTTAGATCCCTTAATCCACTCCATACATAAACTTAACAACTACCTTACTATTACTAAGCAGAAAATTAGGTGTTTATTGATGGAAAAGTCTTAATCAATAGTGAATGTGTTCCCTAATCTAAAGTGTTACCATATCAAATTTGCATATCACACACATTACATATGTGCTGCATACTTCATAAATAGCATGATTTGTATGATGGTGTACTATTCTGAACATACTATTTCAGAAGTGAACCAGTGTGAATGTCTCTCTTGTGAAAAACAAGTAAACAATAAGTTGGCATCCTTTTAAAAAGAGTACTTATTATGGAAATAATGTACTTTAAAAGAATATACTTAAGTGCAAATTGAATGTATGCTTTCTGACAATTAACTGCATGTTATTTGCAAATTAAATGAAAATGCATTATAGTTTAAATGTATGTTCAATATTAAATGTAAATAGCTAAGAATGCCTAAGACTTCAGTACATCTTTATATGTAATTTCATCATTACTTCTATTGTCTTTGAAATATGGTTAAAGTGTAACTGCTGAATGTACAATTTAGTACATTTAAAATATATTAACTTGAAATTATAATCAAGTACTTTACATGTGCTTTAGTGTGTTAGTCACCACGTCAAAATAAGTGTACTTCTTTAAACATGACAAAAAATTTATGAAACATAATGATATAAAATGTACTTACTAAAAATAATTCGACATTATTACAAAGCACTTTTTAACTTAAATGTGTTAAGAAACATGTTCAGAAAAGTTCTCTCACTTTTTAGGTTCACTTAAGTAGCCTTTTATTTCATTAATATTATATTACCTGTAAGCAGTTTTTTATATGCTTTTAAGATTTGTAGTACACCAAAAGTTTGTGTTCAATACACGTAAGTGCGCTTCTTTTCACAAGCGCTGTTATTAAGAATTGACTGATCCATGTGATTGGAGTCCAGTGGTCTGTCAGCAGCATGAGCGAGAGTCCGTGGAGGAAATGGAAAACAGCAAATAGAAAAAAAAAAAAAAATCTCTTTTAAGCTCTTGTGCTTCCTTCATATTTCCATTTAAAATTGATGATCTTATATAAGAGCATGTGGAAAGGAGACTGCAGAGTTTGATGTGTCTAAGGAGAGAGAGAGAAGAAGTAACAAGGATAGACTTACAGAGGCATAAAGTGACTTTGTAAGGAAGTAAAATGAGCGGCAGAGGGTTTGATTATTCCGTTTGAATAACAGAGTAACTTCTCCCTTCAGCGTTGTGAGCTGAGAGATGATAAACAAACCGTTGAGCCAGAGGAACCCCCTATAGCGCTGTTACACCATCCACACACACACACACACACACACACACGGTGGGGGTTTGGTCCCCACAATGTAGGCAAAACGTGACCCACACACATTAAACATCATACTATCATACTAATTCAACACATATAAGCTCAAACGGCCAAAGAACGAGTGAGGAAACACATGTGAACAGAATAACACAACCACTTCTCAATCACACAAACACAATTACATGTAAGCTGAAGTGTGTCATTTCTGCAACATTAGTGTCACCAGATGGAATATCAAATAAATAAATAAATAAAACATAATGGCCTCCATTGGTCAGTCAAACAAATAGTCCCGCCCCAAACTCACATCATTGTCTGAGTCTGTATTGCTGTGTCATCTAAGTGTTTAGTTTTTTTTAATGCTTTTAAAATACTACTCTGATGCTAAAGAAGACTGCAATTATTTTATCATAAATACAGTAAAACAGTAATATTTTGAAATATTACTACAATTTAAAATAGCTGTTTATGTATTATTAAATGTAATTTATTCCTGTGATCATAGCTGAATTTTCAGCATCATTATTCCTTGTTTCTGTGTATTTAAAGTGTTCCCAGTTCTCTGTCTGCTGTTATCTCATCCCTGAGTTCCAGTGGTTGTATCCCTTCGTTTGTTTTATTAAAGTCTCTGTTGAAGTATTCTCCTGCGTCTCCTCGTTCCTCCCAGAGAGACCGTGACAGTAACCCTAACCATAAAAGCAAACTTTTTGCTTTTTTAAACATTTACTTTATGTATAAATAATTTCTACATTTCAAGATGTCCCCGCACTCACATGTAGCTAACTAAGGACAGTTTTGGGACAAAGAACTGCTAAATAAACCCACTCACAAACACACACTGACATCAGGTGGTTAGAAATATTATAATTCCAAACAACATTATATGTGAATTAATAGCTAAAAATTTCATCACTTAACAGTCCTCTGACACTTTATACAGTTAAGTGAGGCTGCACCTTTTTATATTGTGATTGTTTGTTGATTTTTTTTTTTTATACTAATGACTTCTCAATAGCTGACAAATAAGAAAATGTAATGAAGTAAATTAAAAGACCCCAATCCAAAAAAAAAAAAAAAAAAACACTTGAAAAAATCTTGATTACAAACACATGCAGACCCACTGTGCTTCTCTAACATCAAAACACATGCATAAAACCTGTGAATCCAATGAATATACATATCCCTAATCTGATCTCATACACTGTTAATGTGACATTTGAGTTTATGTCACAAGAAACTCTGCGCCAGCTGAAACACACTCACTAAACACACTTCAGCATGCCGTGTTACATAAGCATTGGACAAATCCTTATAATCCCAACGTGACAGATTTCTAGAGCTGTCACAATTTCAGAATCATTCTAAGCAAAACTCAGAACATGAGATTGCAGGACGTCATGCAAAGTGAGCACATGACCTCAGATAGAAATCGTCTCTCAAGTATTTCAAACGTAGACAGCACTGAGAGGAAATGAAGAGCAAATGAAGACACTGTGAGCTGCTTCTCAGATGTTTATCCTGTGGAAAGATCCTAATCTCTCACACGTCTCTTCTAAAGACTCACACTGCACTCGGCTTTGCCAAGATACTGAGGTCTGCAGTCAAAAAGTCTCTCAGTATAAACTCGTAAATCAAAGGAATTTATGAAATATATGAAACATTTCTAATCAAACTGTTCCAAGACTAAAAGATCACAGCTGCTATCCACATTCATTTTACAGTTTCAGGCTATTACTATGTCATCATTTGTTTCATTTATTTCTGTTGTCATAATTACTAAAGACTACTAAAGAATTTTAATTTAGGTTGAGGATTAGGTCATAATCGCTGAAAATGTTTTCTGCTTCAACCTTCAAATTGGTTCTGACACACACAAGAACCATTTATTTTATTTGACTGGTTAATTAATTAATTTATTTATTTATTTTCAACTGAACTATTAATGAAACAAAAAAAGTACAATGACAAATGGTTTGGAAATAAAATTTTAGGGCTATTTATTTTTCACATTTCTCGCAATTTGTACACACATGCAATAAAGACAATAAAAGTGACTACAGTTACACGATATGCAACAAACAGGACAGTCTCAATTGAGTGAGGAAATCACAAATGAATGTGGAAATCATATTATCTATGACTAATGAAAGTTTCCATGTCTCCATTTGAAGCTTTTAGCAGAAAGACCTACGAAAACCATTCAAATGCATACTTTTGTGTGGTCTGCAAATCAAAAGCACAACTTCCAACAAACAACAGAACATGAGTTTATCTGTGAGGGAATCGTGTGTGTGTGTGTGTGTGTGTGTGTGTGTGTGTGTGCGCGCACCGGTTTGGGTGATTTATGAGGACACAAATTTGTATAATAACATGGGTATGACATAGGTATTACAATATGAAGGTGGTTTATGAGGACACTCATATTCAAAAGACTTAAAAACATACTAAATGGTGTTTTTTGAAAATCGAAAAATGCAGAGAGTTTTCTGTAAGGGGTAGGTTTAGGTGCAGGGTTGGTGTAGGGCGATAGAAAATACAGTTTGTACAATATAAAAACCATTAAGCCTATGGAATGACCCCGTTATGATAGGAATACCAGATGTGTGTGTGTGTGTGTGTGTGTGTGTGTGTGTGTGAGAGAGAGTCTGTGTG